AGCCGGGCGTGGTAGCGCGCGCCTGTAATTCCAGCTACTCGGAAGGCTGAGGCAGAAGGATCGCCGGAGCCCAGCAGGTCGAGGCTGCGGTGGCCGGGAGTGGCCACTGCACTCCAGTCTGGGTGACAGAGTGAGACTCCAACTCAAAAAAAAAAATTAAAAAAAAGAATTTGAACTAATGGTAATACACGGTAAGGGGAAACTTAGCTTAGCAAGGCCTGTTTGTTCAGATTCTTCTCTGTGTCCCTGTGTCTTCAGAGATGAGGATGCACCTTTCCTTCAGATATAGGGAAGGCACCTCTCACCTGAGGGTCTTATGATCTGCTTCAGGGAAGGTCAAAACATCTTTCCTAGATTTTATGACCTGTTTCAGAGGGGAAGGGTGGAGGAAGGTCAGAGAGACCTTCCTGCACATGCCCTCTCACATTTCTTCAGCTTCAAATCTGCGATATGCCAAGGTGCTATATTTTGGGGTAGTGTGTCCTGAACTCCCCCATTGCCAAAGGAAACAGTTGTCATCAGAAGGGTGAAAAGTAAAAAATAAAATCTGAAGATCCAGGCAATATTTTTTGCTATATTGTCGTATGTAAGAACAAATTGAGCTGGGCGTGATGGTTCATGCCTGTAATCTCAGCACTTTGGGAGGCCGAGGCGAGAGGATTGTCTGAGCCCAGGGGCTCAAGACCAGCCTGGGAAAGTTGGCTAGACCTCGTCTCTTCAATAAATCAAAAAATAAGCTGGGTGTGGTGGCATGCGACTGTGGTTCCAGCTACTTGGAAGGCTGAGGCAGAAAGATTACCTGAGCCCAGCAGGTTGAGGATGCAGTGGCCGTGAGTGTGCCACTGCACTGCAGCCTGGGCGACAGGTAAGACGCCAACTCAAAAACCAAAACAAACTGAGATCAGTAGGGATAGAATTAAGTGATGCTGAACCTCAGATAGACTGAAATGTAGGCCCTAGTATGGCAGGAGTAGGTTCACAGGAACCTCAGGCTTTCATTTTAAATCAGTTTTTTAGTATTATGGACTTCGCATCAATTTGCATGCAACTAGAATCTATAATACTCAGTGATCTACCCAGAAACAAAGAACTGAGTGTTAGGGTTCAGATAGGGTGAGGGTGGAATGGCTGGAGAGGGAGAGGCGCAGAGAGGCGCAGCACCACTGGAGCCGGCGTGCTGGAGGTGCTGCGCTGGCAAACCAGAGATCCGAGTAAATGCAAAGGATTGCAACACACAGAGGTGAAAGAAGATAAGATTTATTTAAGAAAACTTCACCCCCCACAGGCAGGGAGTGGGCCTACACTCTAGGTGAGTGTGGCGTTGTAGCCCCCCAAAGCCCTGGCTTAAATCCTTTTCCTTGGAGATGTTGCAATCAGGTAGATGTGACTGCCGTGACTTCCTGATTGACCACCTGTGGATGTCTTGGAGAACCTGTGACACAGAGACCCACTAATGTCCGCCCATATTATCATAGCCCCCAGAGAAGGGCGTGACAAGGATTCTAATTCTCCTGCACCTTCCCAAATGACATTCTTTAGAGTTAATGGAGGGTGTGCTTCCCCTTATCTCCTAGGCATTCCCAGTGGCTACCTTCGGGGGATCCTTGGCTTCCCTGTAGATAGTGCGCAATTTACTGGAAGATTGAATCCTCACCTGTTCCCCCTCTGAGTGGTCATAACTTTTGTAATTACAAGTTTCGTGACTTCTACAATCCTTGCCCAATGCATGATGTCTTAGGCCTTGTAAATTCCCTTTACTCTAGGCAAGTTTGATTGTCACTATGAGATACCTCTGATACCTGGCACCAGGAAGTCTGTTTCTGAAAAGGCAAAGTCGGCAAAGTTAATTTTACCTGAAGTGTGCATTTCTCTAAAAACATAGCTTCTACTTTCTCATCATTGTGTCAGGGTTTAAGAACAAGATGAAAAATGGCTTCCCACTCTCGGTCTGTCCTTTCACTGAGTACCACATGCTCTCGGTCTGTCCTTTCACTGAGTACCACATGTTTTCACTCATAAGTGGACCCTGAACAAATTATCATAATACTATAAGATTGGCCGGACTTGGTGGCTCAGCCTGTAATCCCAGCACTTTGGGAGGCCGAGGCAAGTGAATTGCTTGAGCCCACCAGTTCCAGACCCACCCGGGCAACTTGGTGAGACCTCATCTCTACAATAAGAAAATTAGCTGGGTGTGGTAACGCATGCCTGTAGTTTCGGTTACTTGGAAGGCTGAGGCGGAGGCATCACCGGCGCCCAGCAGGTTGAGACTGCGGTGGCCAGGAGCATGCCATGCACTACAGTCTGGGCAGCAGTGAGACTCCAACTCAAAAAAAAAAAAAAAAAAAAAGAAGAGGATTGGCAGTAGTAGGAAACTGCCAGGGAGTGGAGGGGCACACTTCATCAGTAAGGGTACCTGATCTCAAACCAGGTGAAGTGGGGATCAAAGGGAAGCCCAAATAAAGGGAAGCCCAAACTTGTACAATGACCATTTGTATACCTAACCCTGAATTGTATCCATCTTTAAAATAAAAAATAAAATAAAATAAAAAGTCTACCATACACGATACTAAAAATAAATAAATAAAACACTTCTGGGCCGGGCTCGGTGGCTTAGCCTGTAATTCTAGCACTTTGGGAGTGAATTGCCTGAGCCTGTGGGTTCGAGACCTGCCTGGGCAACTTGGCAAGACCTTGTCTCTACAATAAATCAGAAAAAAAAATTAGCTGGGTGTGGTAGTGCACGCCTGTAGTCCCGGCTACTTGGAAGGCTGAGGCGGAAGGATCGCCAGAGCCCAGCAGGTCGAGGTTGTGGTGACCGGGAGCGGCCACCGCACTGCAGTCTGAGTGACAGTGAGACTCCAACTCAAAAAAAAAAAAAAAAACCCCAAAAAAC